GGGTTTCTGCTCTGAACTGTATTCTGCAGGAATCTTTGTCTCTCCACTTAAAATACAGGGGGCCAATAAAGACACCAACCTATTAGCTTTGGGGCCCACCCCACCCTGATCACACACACAACTGTCTTCCATGAAAAGAAGTCCTAAGAACATGCCTGTATCTTTGCTTGGCATGGGCAGGTATGGGCACTTGAGTTTGATTGGAAACCAAGATATACTTTTAAAAGAAGTAGCTCTGAACACATTTCCAGATTATACTTATGTTGGGACATAGAGTGCCTCAGAAGTTAAAGACACAGAAACAGAAATAACTATGTTAGATACTAATTATCTTCTTGATGTTAGGTGAATATCAGGCCAGATTCAATAGCCCAAGAGATGCAAGGCTGCCCCGGCTCCATGCCCCCAGGTCCAATCAGTAGCGAGGCTGAAGATGTATTCCCAGTAGGCACGCACACACAAAGCACACATATACACCACATATATACATATATACACAGATAGACACACTCAGCACTCACACAAATACAAAGATCACCAATGGCCTCATGCCGTTCCCCTCTCTGTCTGAGCAGGATGGAGGCCCATTAATGGGAATGTATGTACATATGTATAACGTGGATCTCTCCAGCAGCAGGGCTCAGATATTCAATCTGCCCAGTAGCTGCCCCTGGATCCCAGTCTCCCCAGTTGTTGGCACCTGGACATATGAGTCCCTGAGGCTGCAGCCCCACTCAAGTTACTGGTAGAAATCATCTCACTCACACACCCACACACATATGTGCACAGAGTTGTCTGGAACTCTCTTGGTTCCCTAGTAGCCAACCCCCCATAGTCTCACCCTTACAGAGACACACACACACACGTGGGTTTCATCCTTATGAGACCCCCAGACCTTACGGTCTCTCCAGCAGCTGGATGGGACTCCCCTGCTCCGTCCAATAGCCAGCTCCTACCATGGGCTCACCCTGAGACACACACAGCCCCCTGACTCCCAGGTCACTTCATCTAGTCACTGGCTAGTCTGCCTTGATATTCACTAATGATCATACACTCACTCACACCCCGGCAGCATTCGGTCCACTTGCTGGCAGTACAGACACACAGGTGCTCTAGCCCCATGTCCCACTCCAGTGGCTGGCACTTGATTTTTCTCACTCAGCTTTCTCCAGTTGCTGGTACCAAGGCACACAAGTCCTGCAACCTGTGGAATGACTCCAGTTGCTGAGACTCAGACACCTTTACACACACACGCACAAACAAGAGAGCATTTCACCCAGGGAGAGTTAGAAAGGAATTTAATAAGAAGCTAGGACAGACCGCACTGATCAAGTACAGGGCATGGCCACACAAGTTTACTGACCAGGCACTTATTTACATGTGACTGGCCCTTTTTACCCCCCCCTTACCCCTCTTTTTCCCCCACACTTGTTCCTCCCCAAATCACTTAAACCCCTCCCTTTTCCTGGCTTTGGTTTCTCCCCTAAACATCCCATAATAAGTCCTGTGCAACCCTAAAATGGTCTTCCCCTGCATCCCATAATGTGTCCCATACCCCTAGGCAGCAACCCTCCCTCAGTCCGAAAGGTGCTCCAGCATTGACTTATCTTGATGGATTCCATGCTTGGAGCATGATGCTGACATTCTCCTGGGACAGCACTGAGAGGGGCCCCGATAGTATGTCTGTATTGGGTGTATGTGGCAAGGTTTTGGTAGCAGGGGAAGCTGCAGGGGTGGCCTCTGTGAAAGGACATCAGGAGTTGCCCTGTGCTGGGCACAGCTGGCTCCGCAACAGACCCACTGGCAAGCCAAAGCTGAGTCAATCAATGAAGATGGTGGCACCTTTGTGAAAACATATTTAAGAAAGGGCAGAAAACTCCAGGTAGAGAGAGAAGGAGGGAACAAAGAGAGTTAAAAGCAACAGAGGGATCCTGAATGTCAGAAATGGAGGAGGAGGTGCTCCATGGTGCCAGAGCAGATATTTACTGCAGCCCATGAAGGACCCACACTGGAGCAGCACACAAACAATCTCTGCAACCTCTCCTCCCTTCCCTTCTCTTCCTAGGGGATTGGCTGTCTGTGTTCAAGGCCAGCTCTGATATGGTGCAACTATGCAACCTGGGATCAGGATGATGGGAAAGAGCCGGGTGAGAAAGAGCTGGGAGAAGACTCATCAGAGGCCTCCCTACTTTGTTCAGGTGCAGCAGATGCCTCGTCTTTGGGCCTGAGATATGTTGTAGATATGCTGTGGCCAGCCATGGCTTTCACTGATCCAGACTTGAGCCTCTGATTTGACTTCCTGGCTTGACCTCAGACCTGCCTTGTCACTATGGACTTACCTGGCCATCACTGGACAGTTCAGCCAGGCTGAACCTGGCTGCTGTCACCAGACCTGCCCTACTCTCCTTGCTGTGGGACTGTGCCCTGTTGGTGAGGCCACTTCTGCCTTGCTGTCGCCCTTGGTTCCAAGCTCACCTGCCCTTGCAGAGCACCCATTTCTGCTGCTCTCTAACATAGCATGATAAAATTAAGCAGAGATAGGCACAAATGTCAATCACAAGTCATTGTTTAAAATTCTTGTTCTAACATATCAGCATCCCTTGACCACTGAACTATTTCCGTTTAAGGAATTTCATTCTTGTGAAATTTTAGCAAGATAATTAAGTTAGTTTTTGGTACTATTTCCTAGTTTTAGTAAAGGCTGTTTTGTTTTGTTTTCAAAATGTGTCAGTAGGAAATATTGGTTTGTATACAGTTAAAAAGTAATTATAGGAAGTATGTAGTTCTTAACCAGGAAAGAGTTCTCTCCATGTTTACAGATTTCTTTTTGTTAGCCACAACATAAAATTATATTCAAGCCAGTAATGAAAGTAGGGTTTTCATTCCCAAATGGGGAAAAAATGAACTGCTAAGCTTAGTGATTACATAAGTTTTGCCCCTGAAATTCTGTCTTCCAGGAAGCAAACTGTATCTGTGTTAGAACACAATATTTAAATAGAATGGGTTGGTTTTAATATACAATATACCAACTGGCTGGATGCTTTCTACTCTGCCAGTCCCTAGAGTTCTAACATTTCCCTATTTCTATCTTATCTTATCCCTTACTCAAATCTCTGAAGCCAAAGTCTGCTCTGAAACCAAGATTATAATGACCTGTGACTGTACAGATTTATTTGAATCTAGCTGGCCACCAGGTACCCACTGAGCTGCTCTATCCCTCCCTCTTCAACAGCAGAGGGGTAGAAAATACAATGGAAAAGCTCATGGATCAAGATAAGGACAGGGAGATCACTCACCAATTACCATCACGGGCAAAACAGACTTGACTTGGAGAAATGAATTTAATTTCTTGCCAATTAATTGTAACGGAGTAGGACAATGAGAAAGAAATAAGAACAAATCTAAACACACCTTCCCCCCACCTCTCCCTTCTTCCTAAGCTCAACTTTACTCCCAACTTCTCTACCTCCTCCTCCGCCTGAGCAGTGCAGAGGGATGGGCAATAGGGGGTTGCAATCAGGTCATAAATATTCATCTCTGCCATTCCTTCCTCCTCACATCCTTCCCCTGCTCCAGCGTGGGGTCCCATCCATGGGATACAGTCCTTCATGAACTTCTCCGACATAGGTCCTTCCCACAGACTGCAGTTCATTAACTGCTCTAGCACAGGGCTGTTCCACAGGGTGCAGTCCTTCAGAAATGGACTGCTTCAGCGTGGGTCCCCTGTGGGGTCACAGGTCCTGCCATAAAACCTGTTTCTGTGTGGTCTCCTCTCCACGGGACACAGGCCCTGTCAGGAGCCTGCTCCTACATGGGCTCTCCACAGGCTGTGTTTTCCTTCAGGGCACATCTAGCTGCTATGGTGTGGGGTCCTCCATGGGCTGCAGGGTGGATATCTGCTGTGGCATTAACCTCCATAGGCTGCAGGGGAAACCTCTGCTCTGGCACCTGTAGCACCTCCTCCCCCTTCCTCTTCACCGACCTTGGTATCTGCAGGGTTGTTTCTCTCACATATTCTCATTCCTCTCCCTCAGCTGCAGCTGCGCAGCGTTTTTTACCCTTTCTTAAATATGTTGTCACAGAGGTGCTACCACCATCACTGACTGGCACAGCTTTGGCTTTTGCATGCCAGAACAAGATGAATTTATGAGACACATGAACTGACAAACAAACCATGCCAGTATTGTTTCCCCAGGAAACTAGGTTGGAAATGGCATTTTAGGAAGTCACATATATCCTGATTTTCCCATCCAGAGTGGTCAGTGTACATTTGAATTTACTTTTTACCTAAGGCTACACTGACATATAAATGGCTAACTAGTTGTGTTCTTTCAGGTTTTAAGCCCAAATGTTCCTGAATTACACCAGCAAAACTTCTACTGCCTTAAAGGTTTGCATAAAAAAGAATCAAGAAAATTTACTAGCATACCAGGTGGTAGAAATGATCTAGCAAATACAGTGGTGTTAACATACATGCTGATTACACACAAAACAGAAGAGCACCACTTTCTCCTCTAGAGCTCAATAATTTTGCAGAGCTGTCAAAGTAAAAAGAAACAATTTTGCTTTTTAATGCAAATAAATCACTAATTACTTTGCTATTTCTCAGAGCACAAACTTTTTTGAAAGAGTAATTATTTTCACACTTTGCAATAAAAAGAGTAAATCCCTTTATTCACACTTCTCAGTTGCTCAAATGTTGATTTAAACATACAATTTATTTCAAGATTTATTTTTCATCTTAAGTTATTGAAACTTATTTACAAACTCAACTTTTGTTTGTTTTTTCTTCATTAAAGTACGGGATAATAATATAATATACAACTAAAATCATCTTACATTCAGTATATAAAGCAAAGTGGTAATTTAAAAATACATTACTATTTAAGCACAAACAATATTGTACTAAGAACTGATAAACAGATTTGCAGGAAAGCACAAACAATATTGTACTAAGAACTGATAAACAGATTTGCAGGAAAGCAAAACAAACCAAATACCTTTAGCCTCCAATTATCTCCTACTTCTGTTTTGATTCTGTTTAACCAGTTTTCATCAAAGTAAGTTGGATCTCTGAAAATACATAAAAAGTTAGAACATTTGTTAAGAACACAAATTTCAAGTACTGATACCTTGGTGACTCAACATCTATTTTAGGCAGATTTAAATGACTGCCTATATAGATATGGTCAGTATACAAAAGTTCAGAATCCTGCTATTATTCATTTATCTAAGTATTTACACCCTGCTCATATCCCAGCTTTATCTGCATGCTATGGGTAGTTAATTCTTTTGAGGAAACTGCAACACTTGGAAAGCTTCTTGCAAATTTCTTCTATGTCTCCAAGTTGAAAGTGTTCCTTTCTTAATGTTACCAATTATCAGCTAATGATGGGGCTTAAACTCTCTGGGGAACCTAACATGTTTGCAACATCTGAAAACATTAGTAAAATTAACGGGTTTTTTTCCTCGCATCAAGAATTACCATTGCTAGATGCTGGCTGCAACACTCAAACAGGAAAGCTTGAGAGTGAACAAAATATTCTGCCTTCATACACTCAAAAATGTTAAAAGCATCAATGGAATTAAGTATTTGCTACCGAGAACATACTTATCTGTTATACTTTCTTTCAAACATCAGTTTTTCCAAATATTTCTTCATGGCAATTCTTCACAAAAAGATCTGTCATTACCTTTCTTTAAAGGATTTTCTGTCTTCTGCACTCTGATGAAGCAATCAAGACAGACACAGAAAAAGAGAACACCTATTGCTTGTATAACATGCTGCTATTTCTATAAACCTCCTTCCTCTCTTGCACATCTTCCATGAGCTACTTATTCGTGACAACTAACACACCCTCCCTCTTGCCCCCCAATCCAGAGACAAGATTAGATAAAAGGGTAACATGTCCTAATTCTCATTGAAGTCATATTTTCCATTCTACAACACAGATTTATGACAGTGTTACGATCAGAACTAAAGAGAGATAAGGCATTAAAAATAAATGGTATTTAAGTGGCACCTACAAGAAAGCTGGAGAGGGACTTTTTACAAGGGCATGTAGCGATAGGATGAGGGGGAATGGCTTCAAATTGGAAGAGGGGAGATTTAGATTAGATATTAGGAAGAAAATTTTCACTATGAGGGTGGTGAGGCACTGGAACAAATTGCCGAGGGAAGTTGTGGAGGCCCCATCCCTGGAGGTGTTCAAGGCCAGGTTGGATGGGGCTTTGAGCAACCTGGTCTAGTGGGAGGTGTCCCTGCCCATGGGAGGGGGCTTGGAACTAGATGATCTTTAAGGTCCCCTCCAACCTAAACCATTATATAATTTTATGATAAAGCAATATGCCCATATAAGGAAAGACTCGTATTTCAGATGAAAAATAATCACTACAGTCCAAAAAAGAATAGCATTTTTTGAAAGGGTAAGGCTCTTGAGAGTCAATTTAGTAGTCAATCTCCAGACTTCAGTTTTACAAAAAGTAATCCTAATTTCTGGATTTAAACTATCACATGTTGCTGCCAAACACTATTAAATTTACTGTTGTATTCTCCAGAGAGACACCAAGTGGACATAATTATCTGCGCTTCACTGGCAAAGACGACCAAGAGGACTTTCTTTGCAGCATCTTATCATCCTTCAAGGCCATGGCAGGTCACAAACATTTTCAGCTGCTTCAAGGCTGCAATGCTATGACTATGTCAATTCTTGGCGTTACATTTTCATTGTAAAAAAAAAATAGTCTGAAAAGCAAGATGGAAAACAGCACAGAAATGCCCACAAGGAGGCATTTACTTGGGAGGAACTGGATGGCTAACACTGCGTATGCAATATTCAACAAGGCAGACATCAGTTGAGGAAAAAATGCAAAATTTAGGGTTCAGCACCAATTCAGTTCACCCTTGGAGTCCTATGTTTCAACAGTGATTAAAAGGCTTTTCTTAGCTACAGCAGTAATGACTGATACAGAGATCATCAGTCTACCTTCACTTTCTGCTTGACAGAAGCCATGGATTGCCTACACTTTTATTTAGCTCTCTGGACATGCATTTTTGGAAGGCTCTTTGAAATGCAATTAAATTAAATCCAAGTGTCCCATCTGGTCTTCAAGAAGGAAAGGAGGACTAACAGCTGATAAACAATCCATTCAAAGTAATTCACACATAACAATAGTCAGAAAAGTGCCAACAACAATTGTCTTTACAGCACCTCAACGCCAGATTAAATAATAGCCAGAAACATCTAGAGAAAGTATGATGCCAGCAAACCTCTGAAAGAGATCTGTAAGAGGGTAATCACCAAGCAAGTCTAAAACAATCATACTTTCTTCCACTGTTGGGAAGTCACCTCAGTATCATTCCTAATGCAATTGTCAAAATTTCTGTTCTCTTCTCAAAAGTTCTAAAGTTCAGATCACGAGAATTAACATCAACAACAATGCTTGTTCTTTATAATCAAACCAAGGGACCAAATCAACGATAAAAAACTTAGCATAGAAGCATTAAAAAAAATGGTGTATTGGACATAATTGGTAGGGTTTGGATAGAAGAGGACTGCAGGGGTGCTCTGTGTGGGAAGAAGCCATGAACTGCCCTGTGCCAATCACAGCTAGTTCCAGCAAGCTCAGAAACGGATGTGAACGACCCACCTTGGGCCAAAAATTCAACCATTCAGAGGAGCAAATAGCACCTCTGCTCAAACATATTTAAGAAAGAGCAGCAGCTATTAGGAGCAGGAGATGGCATGTGAGGATGCACTAAAGGAGACACAACAGGAAAGATGTAGATGTGAGGAGGCACAAAAAGGAGAGGTAAGAGGAGACACAGGAAGACACACATAAGGGGACACATGAGGAGAAACGTGAAGAGACGCATTTGGAGAAATTAGAGACACATGGAAGCGAACATTGTTGAGGATATGGCTGGAGATGCACTCTTGGAAGGAGGTGCTCCATGCTGAAGGAGGCACCTCTGAGAGGACTGCAACCCATGGATAAGTCATACCAGAGCAGGGACATCTCAAAAGGGACTGTGGCCTGTAGAATACTCACTCCAGAGCAAAGGAAATAAGTAAGAAGAAATGAGCAGCAAAACCAAACCAGTATGCACTGACCCCAACTTCCTGTGCTGCCTGTTTGCCTTGTCGAAGGGATTGGGAGGGACTGAGTATCATGCATAAAAAAAGGAAGTTACCCAACCAATCCCCCCAAACCCCCCCAAATATATCCCTCCACTGGAGATATAAGTCCCTCTTTTATATTCTGCACGTATTAACACACACAAGCTATGCTACACTGTATGACACTAAGTTATTAATTGAGTGGGGCAAGATAAGTAGATAACACAAATGAAAATATATGCCATCTTGTATATCTACCAAGTCCAGTGGAGTTGTTAAAGAAAGAAAGTGCCCAAAGATATCTAGATACTAAACAGTCTCCAGAGATGGAAGGAGAAAAGTTAGTAAAAAAGTATAACAGAGAATTATTCTTTTCCCTTTCATTTGTCTGAACACTCCCACCTTTTTTAAATAAGTATCCTTTCTGTAGTACCTGTTTGAATTCAAGTAGCAAAAAGGAGAACTTGACTAGTTTCAAATTTGTTTTTCAAATTGTTAACAGCAATGAATGCTTTCTCTTTGTATTCTCTGGCTGTCTATTGGCTCTGTATCAGTTTTTTAAACCAACTATTTAGACCAAACATAGTGACATCTATGTGTCCACCTTTCACATTCAGAGACACAGCCATCTATTGTGTTTGCTACCCTTGATAGCTACATCAAGGATCCACTGGAGGTGTTCACTCCTACTACAAAAAAAGAAGCAATCATATCTTTCCTTAGAAATCATGCATACCTTATCATTGTTTTAGAATTCTAAGATCAACTCGTTGCTGCAATTCCTTTGCTCCAAAGCTTTTCTCAATAGAAATACAGTCCAGGCTATTGCTAAATCCATATATGAGAATCAATATCTTCATTACACAAGCATGCAAAGTGGTAAATCTGAATTAGAGTTGACATGCGTTAAGATAGCCAAAGAGTAATTTTGTTAGGCTCAAATTATTGCATGAAACAGCAGAAGCCTTGCAATTGCTTAGCTGATCTTTATTTAAACTTCTCTGGATACACTGACAAAGTCAAGCTAATATTCAGTATCAATGTGACAACTGCTAAGGTAAAAATAAAATTCAAGTGCTGCTACAGAAACACAATATTCACATGGTACATACTTTTCTTTTTAAGAAATCACTTGAATTCACAGTTGAAAACAGTATCTCAGAGTAGATTTCCTTGCTTACTTGGGGGGGCAGCATCACGAATCACCGGTAATAGGTTAAAAGTTAAAGATTGGGGTCTGTTATTCAGGCTTTATTTTGGTATACAATCAAGGCATAGTATTTTTTTTTTAGATCCCAATTCTGACCAGTCCTTGAATTAGTCAGTTTAAAAAAGCTAACAGAAGAACAATGACACTTAACAATTGCTGACATGTCATGATGTAAATGGGAATTGCACTCTATGAGTAAAACTGAGCAAGTTGATGACTGATGAACATCCAAACTCAATATGCCACAATCATGTTTTGCTCTATCAAGTGCTCCAACAAAAAATTTACAGACAATTTTCATAAAAATCTTGACTTTTTACAGAATTTACTAAGCTTGCTTACCATCTATGTGATAAACTTCTACTTAGGTAAGAGAGGAAGAATTTTACAATCTTGAAGAAAGAAACAGCATCCAATTTCTTTTTAGACTTGTAACACTGATAGTCACTTTTCAGAAAACTTAAGAATATGCTATTTTAAATGTTGGTTTATAACTACCATTTCTATCTTTTGTCATCTTTTATGTCAACACAAAATACTTAAGGATTTTTCATTTATTCTAAAGCAGCCAGGACTGCTGACATTGTTTGCAATTGCAAAGATTCCCTTAAAGCAAAGTATAAAGAGGACAGCATTTATTATTTTTATAAGTAATTTATGCTTCACTTTCTTCACAGGAGAAGTTATGCAAGAAATCTCCAGATGACTGTATCTGTTCTTTCAGTAAAATAACTGTTTCTTCAGAACTTCCATTAAAAATCCAACTTTTTTCCACTACTAAGCTATTGGACTTATTTGGGCTTCCCACAACAGATATGTTTCTCTCTTACCTGAAACTTCTTCTAATGAAAGGTTAAAAAAAACTCTCTCTGAAAACAGGTAGTTCTAGATATATATTAACTACTTAATAGCTACTATATTAACTAAAATATATTAACTATTATGCTTATCTATAGTCCCCCAGAAGCCAAAACACTGTGCACGGTGTCAAGATTAGACAGCTAATACACTTAAACATAAGCATTTCATAACATTTCATTCTCAAATTCAGATAGTATACAGAAACATCCTAGACTATATACTGGCATGCTGTTTATAATAAAAATTTATTATTATCCAGCATAATAGCGATTTTCCCTTTCCTTTAATCAAAGAATGTAATGTCCTTGCATACCACTAAAATTACATTATCAAAACAAAGCTTATAGTATCATAGAATAGTTAAGATTGGAAGAGGGCCCTCAAAATCATGCTCAAAGCAGGGGCAGCTACAGCAAGGGAAGCTCGCTAGGCAACCAATTCCAATGTTCAAATAACCTTCACAGTAAAAAGGTATTTTCTAATCTTTAAATGGAATTTCCTGTATTCCAATTTCTGTATTTCAATTTGTGCCCATTGCCTCCTCTCCTGTCAGTGGGCATCACCGAGAAGAGTCTGGATCCCTCATCTCAGGAACATGGTTTAGAACTGGACCTGGTAGAGTTAGACAACAGTTGGAAGTGATGACCTTAAAGGTCTTTTCCAGCCATAACAATTCTATGATCTTCACTCCTTCTTGTCTGTGTCTGGAAATGGTTTCCAGGATTAGCTGCTCCAGCACCTTCCCAGGGATCAAGGTGAAGCTGATTGGCCTGTAGTTCCCTGGGTCCCTCTTCTTGAAAGCAGGGGTGACATTTGCTTTCCTCCAGTCCTCAGGAACTTTTCCCCAATCACCACGACCTTTCAAAGACCAATTGAGAGTGGCCTTGCAATGACATCGGCCAGCTCCATTAGCACTCATGGGTGCATCCCATCAAGTCTCGTGGACTTGCGTGCGTTCAACTTGTTTAAATGTTCTCTAACCTAATCCTCGTCCACCGAGGACAAGTCATCTTTGCTCCAGACTTTCCCTCTGGTTTCAGTAGCCATGATTCCTGAAGGCTGGTCTTGCCAAGAAAGACTAAGGTGAAGGTGGCATTGAGTACCTTGGCCTTTTCCATGCCATTTATTCTCAAGTCCCCTTCCCCATTCAGCAGTGGGCCCATGTTTTCCCTAGACTCCCTTTTGCTGTTCATGTACTTGTAGAATCCTTTTATGTTACCCTTCACATGCCTTGTCAGATTCAACTGCAGATGGGCTTTGGCTTTCCTAACCCCACAGAATCACAGAATGGTCAGGGTTGGAAGGGACCTCTGGAGATCATCTAGTCCAACCCCCCTGCCAGAGCAGGGTCACCTACAGCAGGTTGCACAGGACGCTGTCCAGGTGGGTTTTGAATGTCTCCAGAGTGGGAGACTCCACCACCTCTCTGGGCAGCCTGTGCCAGTGCTCTGCCACCCTCAAAGTAAAGAAGTCCCTCCTCACGTTTAGATGGAACTTCCTATGCTCAAGTTTGTGCCCATTACCTCTTGTCCTATCACTGGGCACCACTGAAAAAAGACTGTTCCCATCCCCCTGGCACCCTCCCTTTAAGTATTTGTAAGTATTAATAAGATCCCCCCTCAGTCTTATTTTCTCTAGACTAAAGAGACCCAGGTCCCTAAGCCTTTCCTCGTAAGAAAGATGCTCCGATCATCTAATCACCTTAGTAGCCCTTTGCTGGACCCTTTCCAGCAGTTCCCTGTCCTTCTTGAACTGGGGAGCCCAGAACTGGATACAATACTCCAGATGCGGACTCACCAGGGTAGAGTAGAGGGGGAGGATGACCTCCCTCGACCTGCTGGCCACACTCTTCTTGATGCACCCCAGGATGCCATTGGCCTTCTTGGCCACCAGGGACATTGCTGGCTCATGGTCATCCTGCTGTCCCCCAGGACTCCCAGGTCCCTTTCCACAGAGCTGCTCTCCAGGAGGTCAGCCCCCAACCTGTACTGGTGCATGGGGTTATTCCTCCCCAGATGCAGGACCCTACACTTGCCCTTGTTGAATTTAATAAGGGTCCTCTCCGCCCAACTCTCCAGCCTGTCCAGGTCTCGCTGTATGGCGGCACAGCCTTCCGGCATGTCAGCCACCCCTCCCAGTTTTGTGTCATCAGCAAACTTGCTGATTCTTCCAAGCAGATCCCTGAAGAGGTCAAAATCTGCTCTCCCGAAGTCCAGGGCTGTGATCTTGCTTTTTTCCTTGCTCCCTTCTCACAGAAGTTTTATTGTTTGATCCAGATTCCCCATGCTGCCCTGCTAATACAACTCAGACATGACCTGGAAAGACTAACTCCTTTTTCAGAGTTATTTTTGATGCCTGTTCAGTATTTACACTCCCCTCTAACACTCATAAAAATAACAGCAAAAGTGTGAGCAGTAACACTGAAAATTTTAGCAGCTTCATCTTTTCTATCTACTGCAATTCTAACACGTGATACAGTGTACTATAACTTCAAACACTGCCCCAAGCTAATAACTTACCTTGCATTGGCTTCAAATGTTTAAGATGAAATTTAAGTTTTGTGAACATATAAGCTCAGTTTTAACCCAATTTACTTTTCAATAAGATTAGCACTAGAAAAACACCTTGTCCAAATACTATATTTTTAGGCTTATATTAACTGCTGTTAAAATAACTGTCTGAAAGTTGGAGAAAAAAGTAGTACCCATATTCCAAATTAAAAGCACTGGCTCAACGTAGTTTAGCTGAATACTTACTGAATACTGGCCAAATTTGAAATAAGAAAATATATTCAAATTCAGACAAATGTACAAATGATAAACTTGTGCACCAAAAATCATGAAATAAATTTGTTCTTACATCTTTTGGAGCACCTGAGCCATCACAACCCCATTCGTTAAGTCTTCCACAGTCTGGCATGGTGTTTCAATGTTAAATGTCTGAATCTGAAGAGAAAGGGGAAAAAAAAGAAGTTATTTTCTTCTTTTATTTTTGAAAACCTTTTGGTGCTTATTTTATTTGCTGTTGTTAGTTAGAATAAAAAAGTACACATTTACTGTTTGAGTAGAGAGGTAGAAAGGTTTACATTGAATGGAAATAGTAAAACTGGAGACATTGCTTTATAACATTTTTGCAACCAAAAACATTGCAAACTCAACTACACTCAACTATAGCATATTTCTACGAGAAACACGTTCACTGTATTGAATTTTAGTCGAGGGCAAATTCGGTGGAGCAAAGAATATTTATTACAGTGCTGGGAGTTACACAGGGGATTTCTCCTCCTGTGGCTCGTTTTTCCTTTACAAACACTTGTTTTTATTTCGTATTCCTCATACTTATTTATGTTTTTTTCTTGGAACATAGTTTGCATAATCAATGAGTTCTTGGAATGCAACCTACTCCCGAACATGCCCCCTCCCTTTTAGCGGTGCAGGCGATATGCTTCCTCAGGGATCTTCCAGGTGGTCTTCGGAGGGAGGTTTGAAGTTTTTAGCACCATGTCCTTCTTGTGGCTTCTCCATTCCTTACACTTCTGTGGTTATCTTATCTAACCACACCACCCTTTGTTTTGCAACGGTTTGGTACTTCCAACTGTTGCTTTTGTCCGATATCCTATCTAACACTATCCCTTTCCCAAATGCATAGCAAGCACCTATCTTTAGCTGAAGCCATAGCGAGCACACATCTATTGTAGCTGAAGCAAAATTCTTTTGCTAAATTACTTATTACATTTCTAACAAAATATTTCTGAAAGCATTTTTTAACACACTGAAAAAAGTTGTAAGTCAATGAGACTTGTGTTAAGCATTCTGAAAATCCCACTTTCTCAGTGTAATGTTGTGGAATGATCACTAAAAATGATCGATAGTACAGCATTGGTCACACATTAAGGAAAGGTATAAAATCAAAAGGCTTCTCGGGTAAGACACAGCCGCGGGTGGTATGCGAAGAATCCGCTACATCTGCGATTCCCTGTACAATATTGCTTGCAAAGCAAC